CGCCATACATTGCAGTTACATGTCCTCCGCATATCCTTCTAACAGAAGGAACTGGCGGAGGTTGGCATTGTTCTGATTAATGCTAGTCTGTTGTTTCTACGCGTAGGTGTTTCGTCTTCCAATTCATGTTGTGGCCCAAGTTGACGCCATCCGTTTGCCTCCTCCACATCTATTTCCCAATAAGTAGGTTTGCTGACATTTCTACTCGTTTTACTTCCTCACAATTACGCCTTAAACTTACTTCACTTATCCCCAAGTCCGCTGCCATGATCAACTGAAACTTCTGTTTTTTCATCCGCATAGCATCTATGTCCCTCGGGAAAAGATTGAGGTTGGCATCCAAAAGAATAACTTCGTATGGGTCTATTTGCTTCCGTAACAATTCTTTCACCGCAAGCGAACGCAGCTTCATACGGTGTGTGACCGGTCTCATGAAATGTTTGCCAAAATTCTGGAATGCGTTTCCGATGAAGAAGGATTACCTGAGTGGAGTTGTAGTAATGATTAACATGCAGCATAATCCTATAACACTTCCGATTCGTCAGGCCGTCGCTTTTTGAATACACTTCTTTCTGACATCCTGCAAAAACCAAGGTCGGTAAAACAATGACTACTTAATTAACATGCATTTTTTCTATTGATTACCGATAGTCTAATATATTCAATTAAATTTCATGGAGACCATGCACAAAAATATACATTCTTTTGCTTACTTCACAGGAAATCACATTACCTTCATATTTTATGCCCGAAAAAGCATTTAATTAGGTTTTAGAAAAGTTTCTAATTATGAGATTTTTACCACCGTACGATGTCCATGTATGCCAGACCGCATATGTCCATTTATTAATGTTCTTCCTGAAACGTACAACACAGTCCGGATCCATCGCAAAATTTACTGAACTCTATGTATTGTCGTCTTAAAGGTATAGTCGAAAAAAATTATTTTCCTTATGCGGAGTGCATGTACCTAGTAGACTGAAATTGCTAAACACTCAGGCAATAGCCGATCAGGGTGACAATTATTTGGGAATCGGGAAACCATTCGAA